GAAAATGACACTTAAAACTTCACCTTTATATTTGTCAGATTTGTTCACTTCCCATTACTCAAGCTCATTAAATGAAGTTGACCCAAAGCTGAGTGTTAGCATACACAGTTTCAGTAGATTAAGTTGAATGTTGACTATGAAGGAAATCAATGTGTTTTACTGTCAAGAAAAATAGTTGAGAGTAATCGGATGTGATTATACTTGTTATATCATCATTAGCCACCTGTACGGGTCTTCCAACGACACATCCAATCAGAAGCCTCTTTCATCTCCATGGAAACTTGAGCTTTTGTTGCAATCAGTATTTTAAAGAGGACCGTCAGTCACAGCCCAGCGGATGCGACCAAAATAAAACAAACGTTCAGTTGCCACAGCCTCATTATGGCTGCGAGCCGTTGCCAGGATCCTTTCAGTTTCTGCAGCTCCGCTTTGTCTGATCTTTAATTATCAGGTGCACGTGCAACAAATGCTAACTTCAATGAGGTTTAAACAGGGAGGCTGTGATATTCTCTGACACATCAGTCTAGTCTCTCTATTAGGGGAAAGTAAGTTATGCAAATGCTCTTGTATTTGAATTTTTTTGGTTATAGTGTAATGCACAATTATTCAGTTTTTTGTAGTGGTGAAGTTAACTTGGGCCTCGTATGGTTACACGATGAAGGCTGTCAGCCCCATGGCAATACGGTTAATGATTAGCCTGCCAAGTCTCAAAAAGAAATGACACTACTGCCTGAGTAGTGAGCACTTCACTTGCTAGGAAAATGAGGAACAATGTGGAGCAGATGCAGCTGCGTGTTTGACATGGCATGGCACACTCAGACATCCTTTTAGCGCTTATTAAAAAGTCCCTGACTGTGATAGGCTTCCACAGACCTTGGCGCACAATCGTCGACCCTTAGCTAATGCTTTTAACATTCGTTGTGTATGCAAAACTGCAGGCAAGGGACACAATTAAGCAGGGATGCGGACAGACCCAAAATGGGAAATAATTACCCAAACATTTAATATTAGTTTAGTAGATATGACCACTTTTGAATGGAAGCCCTTTTCAATTACACACCAGGTCTTTCCTTCATCTCTGTCAGAGAGGAAATCACAAAGCCCCTGAACAATTACTTCTCTTACAGATCTGTATCTTTTGTTTCTCCATTGCACTCCAAAGGCCATTCATCATGTCAGTGAGATATTTACTAATTTGTGGCCCAGCATGACGAGCCAATACAAATACAATGGGCTTTATCAGAGACCTTATCGCAAGGAAAGATTCAAATCTACTCAGCACCTACAATCCGGGTAACAGCTTTTTACAACACCGGTTCAGCACCTGGGGACTTGTTTCATCACTTTCTCTGGAAAAAAGTCGTTCTCATTCACAACTCTTCAAACAAAAGACATTGAGGATGTGGTTTCTGATTTCATTTCATCTGTTATTGTCAGGGAATTGAAGACAAAATCCTGTATTTTGTTACAGTGCCCAGTACTTCTCCAGTACATTTCTTCTCTGGTGACTTTTGTACAGGCCACCGTTTGGTTTTGCATCTGCTTTGCATAACGCCAGTTGAATGCGAGTCTCTTTACATATCTGACTTCTCTCTGCACTCTGGAGATAAGAGCAACAAGTGACGACTTTGTTGCAACAGGGATGTGAACGGAAGTACTCACAGGCCTTTCCTGAACTAATTGTACCAATTCCCTAAAGCACAGCGGTATTAAAAGCCAAAAGTACTTGCATCTGCAGAAAAATGGCCCCTCTGACGTTTATATGATATGAGATTCTACAGCCACTCAAGCATCGTTGTGCAGCGAAAGACCCGCATCCTGCATTAGGCACTCAATAACAACGCTAACATGTTTAGTATAAGGACAACTGTACTGAATGAGAACACCACTTGTACTTTTATTGCACTTTATATAATTTCCTTTATCTTTTTTTCTAAGGTGGCAGTATGCATTTCAGTCATAGCGACCAACACATTAAAAGATCTCTGTTGGTCCACTGATCATTATGAAAGTGTATTCTCCCTAATACAGTCACAGTTCTTAGAAGCGCCACAAAAAGGTCTTTTGAATTCAGACTCGGTGACTCACTAAAGAGAGAAAGCAGCCATAACACTTCTGCTGGCATCCCAACACAGACGCTCTCTCTGGAGCCCCTTCAACTGTGATAAACCCTACCTGTCTCTGCTTGTCGAGAGCCAGGTGAGAGTATGTTTTTATAGATGTATAGATTTGTGGTAGAATGTGTATATTGGTATAGAAAATACATTATAATTGTTGTACTTTTCCACAGATTGTTTCTTAACATTGCATGGCCTAATAGACCATCCAGGAATGAACCCATTAAACAAAGTAGACGGCCAGCAGGAACAAAATGAGCAACAACAATCAATATCTGCATGTTTCCTAGTCAATTATTAACCCTTTAACCCTTGTATGGTGTTCGGGTCTGTGGGACCCGGGGCTAACAAAAGTGTGGAAATTGTAGGTCCTGTGCACCTGTGTGTGTGTGTGTGTGTGTGTGTGTGTGTGTGTGTGTGTGTGTGTGTGTGTGTGTGTGTGTGTGTGTGTGTGTGTGTGTGTGTGTGTGTGTGTGTGTGTGTGTGACAGAGAGAGAGAGAAGGATGAGAGGAATACAAGAGGGCAAATGTCGAGTCGTGTGATTGTGTTGCTGAAAATGTGAGGACCAGTGTGAAACAGTGTTATTTAAGTGTGCGCTGTATACTGAAGAAGTATGGATTGACAGCTCTATGAATGGAGTATAAAGGGACAGCTGCTTATATTGCCATAACAACTTACAATGTCATAATGTCGCGTATCCTCTCTGTGAAGAAAAGGTTTGGGCAAGTGCCGGCGGGACGGAAGGGAAAGTTGAAGGTCAGGGTCGCTGATCTGCTGAAACTCTGCAGTGTTTGATCTGTAAATGGCACCAACTGGGGCTGTCGCTCTGCCTCTGATGTTCCTGGGAGGGAGGCAATGTGCAGACATGGGTGTGTGTATGAGTGAATAAGTGTGTGTGTGTGTGTGTGTGTGTGTGTGTGTGTGTGTGTGTGTGTGTGTGTGTGTGTGTGTGTGTGTGTGTGTGTGTGTGTGTGTGTGTGTGTGTGTGTGTGTGTGTGTGTGTGTGTGTGTGTGTGTGTGTGTGTGTGTGTGTGACTTTTGTGTTTCTGCCCCTGCCATTCCCGCACAAGGTTGCAACATTGTTGATCAATTCAAGCACGGACATCTGTCTGCTCTCATATTCCCGCATTATGTTTTGCGGGAACCAATCTTTCTTTTTTTCACACTCTATCCAAGCTGCAAATTTGGGTCAAGACACAATAAATAAAGCTCTGCCAGTTTGGGTCCTTATCACAACTGATCAAGATGGCCAAAAGAATCTCTGCTCAGAGGGCCTTGCAAATGATTTTGGAAGAGAGACAACCATTTGATGATGATGTAGAGGAAGAGGAAGATGTTTCAGAATGTGAGGATCACACTTCTGAGAATTGTGAGTCTGACAGTGACTTTGAAGAAGAGGATGAGATTGAGCATCAGCTAGTTACAAAAAAAAAAGACGAGCCACAGGACCGGCCGGTCAGTGGGCAAAAAAAAAAGTAGCAATTTAATTAATTAATGTCATCTAACAAATGTAAAAGGGCAAATATTAACCATATATGCTGTTTATATTGCTTGTAATTGAGATGAAGTAAACATCTGTTGAGTAACATAAAATAGTTTGATTTTGTTTAATTGAAACCCAAAATGGCAGCGGGTCCACCAGACCCACAAACACTGGCTGAATAACAAAAATATGAACACCACACAAGGGTTAAATGCTGTGTATACCAACCAACAAGATTCAGCTTATTGCCTTCTCCCTCTCTTTAGCTGTTCTGTCTCTTAGGCTATTAAAAATAATACTTCCACAGAACATTCCCAACACACATGGGATGAACTTGAGTGTGAGAGCTAAATGCAAGTTATTAAGGTTTTATGGAGGTAGCGATCATAATATTATATGCTTTTTATTTTAATCTGTCAGTAAATCTCCAGGCTCAGCACTTTGGTGATTAGTTTTATTGTGCAGCCAATGACAGAGGCCATATTCCTTGAGGTCAAATCTTTTGTAAGCGATGATGGCTCTCTGAACATTTTAAAGCAGCATTGGTTTTGACAAATAAAGCAGCAAAAATGCCCTTTCACAAATCCCATCAGCGCCAGCATGAACCTTTTGTTGTTCCTGCCATCAGAGCGCTCACACTGTGTATCATCGACACTCATTTTATAAAAAAGATAAAAAGAAAAATCTCATGCTGAAACAATACCGCTAAAAACGAATGAAAGAGAACGGACTCAGCAGGCACACAGCATCTCACAAAATAGAATCAATGGGTCATGAGTGAATCATGCAGGCCCCCAAAGAGTAGTTTGGATTTTTGAGTTCCTCACTCTACAAAAACCCATCAATAATGCCCTTTCATCTCTTTGCTGTCATTGTCAAGCCGGAGCTTTTAAAGCTCTCCAGAACCCTACAGATCCACCTGAAGGGGAAATATTATGCTATTTTTAGTTTAATTTTTGTATTTTGAGTTTCTACTAACACATTTTTATCTATTTTAAAATGTTTTTTTCTCAGTAGTCATACTGTGCATATTCTCTGTATTCACTCTGTCTTTTTTTTGTGCCTGTCTCTAAGGCCACCTCCCGAAAAAACCTAGTCTACTTGGATTGTCTTGCGATAAATATTGCAAAGGTTTTCTCAAGCAATTGCAGAGAAATACTCAGATTTGTTTGCAACACAAACTGGGTTGTCTTTTTTCATAGCTTAAGGGTTAGGTAGACAATTCAAATATCCAATTATCTCTGCACAAGCCCCTACAAAGGGAGTTTTTCATGATGTCCCCGCTCTGAATCTGTTTTTAAAGGTGTAGGCATCTTGTTTAAGTAGTTCTACTCTTGAATTGTGGCTTTCATTTCATTGCAGGTTGGACATTGTACTTCTGTACATGGGGGCTTTTTACCTTCCATGACGTAGACCAGCGAGCCCACATCGCCCTCCTTGATGATACAGCTGTCCTTCCCATAGTCCACAGGGTACATGCAGTCCACAATCTCTTGGATCTGCGACAGCTCCAGGTTCTTCATGAAATCATTGTCCAAGATGGCCTCCTTGATCAGATCCTTAGACCTGGTGAAAACAAATTATGAAAAAACTAATTCAGACGGCATTTCTGTTTCCATATAGTAGAAGGACTTAATGAGATTAGAGTGAGAGATTAGTGTAAATGTATAACCTTGAGATAGAATTGTTCTCTCAAATCCAGTGAAGCATTTTGACCAGTTCAACAGGCAAGCGTTTGTATTATTTAATCTCACTGACACTGCACAGTGGCTTTTCAAAAAAAACATACACTCATTTCAAAGACGTCAAGGTCAAACAGTTTTTTGTTCCCTCCAGAGGCTTGAACAAGTCAATAAAAGCTAAATCCATGCTTGATGGAAACAGATTGTTCCCATTCAGGGAGCACTTCTGAAAGGCCTTCAGACTGTGGGGCCATTAGGGCATTCCACAGGTAAGTATGTTTTTCACAGGAACGAGAGAAAATGTGATTAACAGTAGAGCTAATGTGCAGTCTTCAATTTGCAGCACTGTACACCGAGCACTGTAAGCAGGAGACATTGTGTAAAATTATCATTTCGATCGAGGAAAACACATTAGATGCTATGTAACATCTATGGAGGAGAGACATTTGTTCATCAGCGTGTGTTGACTGCAGGTGCCTGGCGCAGCAGAGGTGGAAAACGGCAAAGAGACGGCAGAGAAATCGGAGGCGGACTTGACTCTAAAAAGTGAGTATCAGAATCAGAATCAGAATCAGAATACCTTTATTAGTCCCACAGAGGGGACATTTGCATCGTTACAGCAGGAAAGAGCCACAGACAGCTTAATGTTGCCTACGTTAAGAAAAAAGTATTAAGTTATGATATAATATTAAAAAATATAATATAAAAAAAATAAAAGTAAAAGAAAAAATACTTTCCAAAATACAGTTCTTAGAATTTAGCAGCCAGGTATATATTACACAGTTATTAATGGCTTATGTATATAATGTAATGTATATATTGCACATATAGCACATAGCATAAAGATAATTGGTTCACTGAAGCACTTCCTCAGTGCAGTCGGAGTTGCTCAGTCCAGTTTGTGTGGCCAGTTTTGAGAACAAAAAGGTTAAAAATATGATCCAGGGTTAATCCAACAAGTAGTCGCTTCCTCAGAGGCTAAACTTGTATTCCTTAAAGCACTCTCCATCCCCAGTGCTTTTGCAGTAGGATTCTAGGTCTGTTTTTTTCGCTCTGTGCCCTTTTCAGAAACGTATTTATGGGTGCATTGTTGGCGCTGATCACCTGAGGAGTTTAAAGTTAAAAGGGCAAATAAACTGGAAGGCATTTATAAAGCTGTTCCACCACAACACACAGGCTCCTCCGCCCTCCTGCCAGCCTACACAAACGACACAGCTACACAAACACGCTCTAAACTTTATTATCTGCCATGATAAACTATCGGCAGAGCCCAGGGTTTCTTTTTTTTTAACTAAGCGCTTGTTTATGTTTTTAAAACAATCCCCTCTCCCTGTTCATCTGAATCTATTTATATTCAGTGTCTTCGAATTCTTCAAGAGCTTATTTTGAACTTTTAAAGTCACACCAATGCTTCTCCATCAAATCTGGAGACCCATTTATCACTTTTGTGATTGATGTGATCTGTGATACTCTTTCTCCTTCAAAGAAAAACTGCCAAAGCTGTGAAGGATGCACAAAGGATGCTCATCTTAGCTCGCATATACATTCTTAACCTTGGCAAGCATCTACAGATCATCTTTTTCATCAGTTGAGTGATTTGTTTCTCAAATAGCACGCAAACAAATTCCAAAAACAAGGTTCTCATAAGATGTGTTTTGCATTCAACAATTTGAATAATTTTCAATTACAGTTTCAAGGTTGGTGGATTCCCAAAAGGCATTGCTTTTACTTTGACAGCAGAGATAATTGTGAATGAGTGTGATGAGCTAAATTACTGGAGACCAACATTAGCGTGATGTGTCAATCTATTGAGAAAACACAGCTTATGTACTCTGGATTTGTACCCGGTTAGAAATCCTAGTATATTGAGTTGTTGCCACTTACTGTATATGCCTCTCTAGACAAACATTTGTGAACATGCCTTTTCTGCCTTCATTGTAGGAAACTCCTTTGTCAGGCATTTATAGATATGAAAAAGATGAAAGCGACAGCGAATCCTCCAACGTCTCAGGACTTTTTTAAAATTTGAACCAGGTTGATCCAGAGGATTTTTGTTAGATATGTTTTATACCGCCTTTGAGTGTCAGAACAAGTCTCCTGGGAATTGAGTGAGGAATGAGGTGTTGAACCTATTTTAAAATTCCCATCCTGCAATCCATGTTCTTTCCAAACTGCTCTCTTTGTCAGCAGAGACATTAGGAAAGCAACGTGTTGATCCTTATGATGCTAACTGGGTTAATTATGCTTTATAAAGGGCTTTAATTCCCTAAACGAACTTGAACAAATAGGAAATCCATTATTTTCCGAAGCTGACCTCCAGTCCTCAGGAAATGTGCCTCATTGACCCTCTCTCTGTGGCTTTACTCCCGGGAGATCTCTGGACTTCTCAACCCTAAACTGGACCCCCCGACTACAGCCTCTGATAGCAACATCTTCTAACCAGACCCTTGTAAAAACATCTGCCTTCCTCTCCTTTGTGAGGATGATATATTTGCCGTCATCCACTAGTGAAGTTTAGAGCTGAGCAAGTTCAGCCCTCCTTAAAAGGAGAAAATATGCTCTTTTTAGGAGGAAAAAAAAGAGAGGGGTGGCAAAAAAAGTGGGAGAGGCTAACAGGAATAAGAGGCATATGGAGGGAGAGGGATGGATATCGTACGTGTAAGGAATGCTCTATGGGTTTTGTAATAAAGATAAAGTGGTTGAGAATGAAAGAAAAATCTAAACATTTAGCTAAATCCAACAGGAATTATCGATACTCTTCCTTAACCAGAACAAAATAAAAAGGTAATGGGGTTGTTTTTATCCCATGAGGAAAGTTGGGAATTTATTAAATAAGAAATAAGATAACTTTTTTCTTTTCTTAATTGAGCAATAACAAACGTTAGAACAAAATAACTTTGACTAAATGGATTGTAATAGAAGTCCAAACCAAATGAATAATAATGATAGCTAATAAGAGAACACTGCTCAAACACGCTCAAGTAATTTGCATTCAACAGCCTGCAGCTTTCCAATCATTTTTGTTATTATATGGTTATTTTCAAAAAGGAAATATGAGCTAAATGTCATTCTGTGTGAAAGGGGTGGCGGATTTACAGCAGGAAATTGAAGCTGTAGTTTAAAGTCTTTGATAGAATTCAAACAAGCTCTTGGTAAAAAGCTGTTCATTTTTCATTTCCATAATGAAATGTTCCATTCAGCTACAATCATGCAATCGTTCAAACCCCCCATTACTCAAAACTTTCTTTTGTGTTTGATAAGAATGTCGAATCTAAAGCTAACCATTGTTACTGACAATGAAGTGTGTTAAAACTGAGACATCAAACTCTTCATGGAGAGAAATGTCAGCATGCGGGACAAAGTCGATCATTTTGGTCGTTTTTCTTGCATAAGACTGATGTTAAGCAACTCAAGAAAGCCTCGGAAATACTTTTTAATAGAAGAAGTCCCATATAGTGAAAGTATACTATAATACAAGTGACCACTGTCGTGTTTACCTAATCTGCCGTTCAAAAACCAGTGTCCAGCCAAAGTCTAATGCTTATTTACGACAGAGAGACAAACAAAACAAACACCACAAATAGTGTTGCTTTCTTTGTTATTTCGCCCAGAGCTGACAGGTTTAACATAGACTAATGGTCTTTCATCCTCGGATAAATAATCCCTGTTCCTTTAGAATTTTCTTTGATGAAATCCTTGGGGCTTTGTTTGTTTGTATGACGAGAGAATAATGAAATTCATGTCTGACACATCTGATCTCTCTGCAAACTCTTAAAACACCAACATGAGCATAGGAATACTCTCCAATCCTGATTTAATCCTGATGTTTTTAATATGTCTATTCCAATGTGCTTGGAGAATTAAGAGAAGACATTCTTCCTGTCAACCGAGTGTATTGATTAATACTAAGTCAACCTTCACGCTTAAACCGAACAGATAGCCAGATTATTTCACAGCAGGAGATCATTTAAGTGCCAATTTCAGTTTGAGACGTCAGGTTGCAAACGGAGCTCAGTAGCAAAGAGACGCTTGGTGGAGAGTTTGAAAAGAAGAGAGCTCTAGACAAATCAAAAGATAAACATGCCCAGAGAGCCTGTTAAGACTGCCTGTCACACAACCACAGCTTGTATAAAATAGCCACTGGTACATTACACAGAGCTGCCAACACCTGCTCTCTGAAACTATAATTCCCATCACTGGATGACATTTAATTTTCCTGTTAGGCTGTGATCAGGCTTATCGACGTCCAGCCTTTTATCGCTGCCCTGCAGAGAAAATCCTATTGATAACTGTCACTAATTAAAGTTTCCTGACATGATTTTGTGTGTGTGTGTGTGTGTGTGTGTGTGTGTGTGTGTGTGTGTGTGTGTGTGTGTGTGTGTATCCCTTCATAAAGTGCTACAGGTGCCATACCTGCTGCGCCACACTTAACATTACGCACCGGCATCAGGTGTCAAAGGGTGAATAATATCAATCTGTTTAGCAACTGCCAATCCAACACTAATAACATTATCGTTATCCAAAGGAAATATTCTGCTTTTGTAGTTCGGACACCTACTGTGGGCTTTTGGGGTTGAAAGGTAGGGTGACTTGGCTAAGATCCTGGATGTCGAAGGCGGTGGGTTCGGCCGAGATCGCCTGCCTCTTGGTGCGCTGCTGCTCGTGCAGCTCGGTCTGCTTGACGACCTGCTGGGTTGCCGGTTTAATAACGGAGCGGTATTTGTCCAGCTCGGTCTGTAGTCTCTGTATAAGCTCATCTTTCTGGTCGAGCTCCAGCTCCAGCTCGTCGATGAGCGCGTCCCTTTGGCGCAGCTCCTCGATCTTCTCCTGGAGCGCGTACTGGAGGTCGCGCAAGGTGCCCATTTCGGGTGGCGACAGAGCGACTTCCCAGTAAGTTTATCGAAAGGTATGCAGTCTAGTCTGTGTCTCCTCTCCTCTACCACGGTGCTCATAAACTTTATCCGGCATGAACAGCTTCAGATGATGCAGCCCCGGTCTCTCCTGAGGGGGGAATCCTCTCCTCAGTTCTGTCCAAAGCGGATGTTGGGAATTTACGCGAAGGTATGTTCACTGGTTGACACGGTAGCCAAGGTGAGCCCGTAACGCGTCTGAGCCACTATCACGCAAAGTTTGCCCTCTCTCTCCCCCTTTCTCTCTCGTTCTCTCGTTCTCTCGCTCGCTCTCTCGCTCTCTCCCTCCCTCCCTCGGCGGAGTGACAGCGGAGGACAGTCCTCCCCGAGTGCGTCAGGCTGCGACCCAGAGAGAGTGCATGGTGAGGATGGCGCCTACAGGAATCTGTGGCACAGTGCAGTCTGCCAAACTCGTCTCACATGAATAATGGACTCCGTGAGAGAGCCACTGCTCGGAAAAGCATGTCATCGTACCAGTTAGATCACCCCTAGGCTGCTCAATTACAAATAGATGAGCACTGGAGCCCTAAAGGAAGTTGAATGTGGTGGAAACTTAATGACCCTCAGTGTTCAAATAAACAATGCGTTTTTGTATCTATTGGGGAAGAAGGCAGATTGCATTGTGTATTTTGTCCTATATGGACTAAAGTGCTGTGAAATGTTCAAGAGAAAATAATAATTTTCTCAAATACCTGCTGGCAACTATTAATTTCGTGACAGATTGAATAGAGGAGCAGCAAGTGAAGGTGCTAAAGGCGAAGAATCTTACAGATTGTCAAAGAGCAGCTGCAGACGTGAATCTGCCAAAATCACTGAGGATCAAGGCAGCAGCTCCTCAGTGACAATCCTCATTTGATCTTGTTTTGTGTGTTGACTCTGAGCAAGGCTGGTGTCACTCACTCCACATTATCCCAATGAGTCATCGGAAGCTCAGCGAACAGCTTTTGGCCTCACGTGCTCTGGACACATTCAGAGGAGGATAAACTGCCAAGGACAATCTGATTGGATGAGGAGCTACAATAGCAATTACTGTGCTGAATGAGTGGAGACTCTCGAGCTCACAGCGAGGACAAATAATATGTTGGTTTTCTTTGGCTGTAAGGATAGGTATTTTGGTGTGGCAGTAAATAGCATATTTGTCCTGACAGAAAACATGTAAACAACGCTGTAGACAGGAAGTTGGTCTAATTGTGGATCACAGATGCCCTCTTGTGGTGGGAAAAAGCATCAACGCAGGCATGTTTGTGCTTGGCAAACATGTCCAACAGTTAATGATCCCACAATGATGAGTTACTCTTTTAAATGACTGAAAGCTATAGCTTTTACTCTGCAATTAATTATATCATTGCAAATACTGACATGCAAGTGACAACAAATGAACAACAGCATCCTGCTAATAGACCAAATAAATATTGGAAATGTCAGCTTTCTGCAAGACTTTAAATGTGATAAAGCTACTGTGAGGAACGCATAATACATCTGTGTATATTTCCTCCCTAAACAGAGTAGTTTTTCTTGGGCTCCACTCTGAAAATGTTAATGATGCCTAGGCAGCCAACTAAACACCATATTTTGTTCTCCTTTTATCCCTGTCAGGGGAAGGGCACAGGGCACCCAGCCTGAGCAGCAGCACATTTTTCCTTCATGTCAGGAAACTGCAGGTGCCCGGAGACTTCAGGTTCTGTCCTGTCCAGTGATACATCCCCACATCCTCCCATCATCAAAAGGCCCTCCCACTGCCCTTCAAAGCACCTCTGCGCTTTAAATTTCACCTCTCTAACCATCCAGCTCAGCCCTTTTCCTATGCAGATCAATAGAAACAGGATCCGATGCTTCATGCTGCGGTAATCCGATGAGCAGGGCGGGCCGCCGGCTGGTGCCACGTCCTGACTCTAATGGGGGTCACACCGTCTCTGAACCCGCAGCGGCCCAACGGGCAGGTGGACCCCTCGTCCATACTCACAAAAAGCAATCACGTCATCTCACCGGTACTTTTTTTTTACAAATACAAACAGGTTTACTTCTATTTCACTGCACATTGTATGGCCATGTGCAATAGTCTGCCTGTCCACTGAAAGCCCATTCAAGCACTAATAGTGACTCATCAAAAGACCCTGGTGCCACGTACTGACTATAATGGGGGTCACACCGTCTCTGAACCCACAGCGGCCCAGCGGGCAGGTAGACCCCTCGTCCATACTCACAAAAAGCAATCACGTCATCTCACCGGTACTTTTTTTTTACAAATACAAACAGGTTTACTTCTATTTCACTGCACATTGTATGGCCATGTGCAATTAGCCTGCCTGTCCACTGAAAGCCCATTCAAGCACTAATAGTGACTCATCAAAAGACCCTATGTCAGTTTTCAGAATGAACCCTCATGAGAAAGGCTGAGAATGGATTATATACTTTGTCTTGGGTTAGCTTGTTAGTCGTTTTTTCTCAATGAACCTGGGTCATGGCGTTCATGCTTCATTCACATTTTATTGCATTTTCCTTGCCCGAGGACTACTTTTGTGAACTTGTATTCTTGTTTGAAGGCTCACTGATCATTAGTTAATGAGGACCTGCCCTGTCTGCAGTTTATTAATGCAAATGAGGAGTGGAAATTGTCTAGCCATCTTAATAAAGTTAACCTCATTGTCTACTGAATTAATTGAGTCAGCAGTGTAGTTTCTGCCTGTGTGTGTGTATGATCATAGCAACTAATTTGTTCTGATGGGGTTGTTATAATGTAAATGGAGATTAAAAGAAATGTAAATCTGAGGACAAAGAGTGTCAAACTTTTTTGCTGTAAGTAATTAACGCAAAATTAAATTGAATAGACTCAGACAAAGGGAAAAGTCTGACAAACTAAGAGATTATTATTGAATGTTCAGAACTTGTGAAAAAACTCAAAATCAGGATAACCATACAGTGAAGCTAAAACGAGCACCTACAGGTGATGAAGGAAGCATATGGTCAAACAAAGCGTGTTCTAATGGAGTATTAAATATCCTCAGACATGCACTTCGGGTCCTCAGCGTCCAGCTACTAAAAGCCAATAATGCATCGCACTTCCTCCTGTCTGAGCCCCCTGGGACTGCCATGATGGATCTGATCAATTAGGAGCTCTTTCTGAAGCTCGCCTTGGAGCTGCGTCATCGGACACAAGAATGAAAGTGCTCGTCCATTCATGGCAAACGACTCACTCTCATTTAGAAAAAAAAAGGACAAGAAAAGGGAGAAAACATACAGAAATAAATGCTTTTTGGACATAGGACACTGAAGTGCCACAACAACAGATATGTGAAGTTACTGTCATCACATTCAGAGAGAGTTGTGTTTTAGATGTACACCATGCATGGCAAACTATTATTGATTCTGGTAGTGACGAGAAAACACTTTTAGGGTTTGAACGCTGGCACATGTGTGTAATAGAGCATTAAAGTGCAAAAGCTGGCTAAGTCTTACCAGTCGGACTTGGCATATTTCCGAAACGCCGGCCTTGACAGGTCCTGGTGCGTTTGAGGCTCCGCGGAGATGCCCTGCGCCCTGCGGGTCCTCGGTCCAATAAGTTCAGCACTGGGCAAAACAGACTGATATTTGTGTAATTTCCTCTTCAGTTCTTGAATATCGTCTTCCCTGTCCGCCAGACGCCTTTCCAAGTCCCGTATCCTCTCCTCCTTTAGCAGCAGGATCTTGGCAAAGTCGTCCTCCAGGTCGCTCATGTTGAACGTTAAACTTTGACGCGATTCCTCGAACACAAAAAAAAACCCGATTAAACTCCCAGTACTTGCACGGGTTGTGAAGACGGACACAAATCCCCTCTAAATACGCGCAGAGTGATGATGCTCCTAGGATCCCCTTCACTGCCCACTTGTTTATTTCAGAAGAAAGGAGCAAAGCAGTGTTTAAAGCCGGGGAGCGGACGGCAGAGAGAGCAGCGCTACGCTACTGTCCAGCAAACCTCCGGGGAGCTGCTGATGATCCTTCATTGAGAAACCAATTACAGCAGCTCTTCCTCTCCGAGGACGCAGGCAGGCCGTCAAACTGAGCACTAAAGAGCCGAGACAACTCCTGTAGTTCACCGCCTCTCACGCTGCAAACACACTAGAGAAGCCCAGCGCCGCTGCTGCCACTGCTGCTGCTGTCAGATATTTGTTTACCATCATCGGCACAATCCTGAGCACCCTAAACACCCACATCACCTCCCCCGACCTATTGGAAAAATCAATTGTCCCGCACTCCATTCACAGGACACTGCACTGGACTATATTGTTTGCATCGGTCACATGGTGCAAGCTCACATCAGTAAGTGGAACGTAATAATGGAAATAGCCAAATATAGACTGGAGATTGCACTTCTGTATTGATGTGGAGATTAATTTATCTCTGGATCATTGCACATTGTTTTAATCAAGGTGATTGTGGGATTGATCCAACCTATTTCAATCAAATCTTATCTGAATAATCTATAGTGTGAAGAGGAGAGTTAATTATTTACCTAAAGGTTGTGAAGTTACTACACATTAGATTTGAAAACTAGAATTCAACAACAAATTGGATGATTCAAAGTTGCAGATTTAAAAAAAAAGAGTAGCTGTTATATCCGTCCAACATTAGGAGAAGTTAATTACTCAACGGATTCAGAGTCTGTCAACTTCCTGATTAGAATAATCCGAAATAATAACTTCGGCAACACGCTCATCACTTTCATCCTCAGTGCTGTGCGGACTGAAGAGAGTTCAGTAATAGATCATCACTTCTCCCGCTCTAATATTAATCTCCAAACCCAGGCAGTCATTTATATTCATCATTTTTCATTCCGCTGCCTAAATCTGTTTCAACTCAATGA